CTTGCCTTCCTGCTTCCTTTCTTTGAGCTGTTTAGCTACTCCTTTTTTTTTTTTTGGTATTAATCTTTTAGTATTGAGTAACTATATTGGATCTCGATTAATTCAGAATCGATCTACATCAACCTCATTAGGGAGAACCTCTCCCAACACCTATTTCTTTATTCACAAAACTCGAATTCAATACCTTACTTAAAAAGAACCGAGTTCTTTCCACTCAGTTTAACTACTACTACTTCTTCTTCTTCCTCTCTCCCTCTCGGTTTAGCTACTACTTCTTCTTCTTCTTCTTCTCCCTCCCTCTCTCCCTTTGGTAACTATATTGGGTCTCAACTAATTCAAAATCGAACTGTGTCGACCCCATTAGGGGAAGCTCTCCCAACACCTTACTTAAAAAGAACCGAGTTCTTTTCACTCAGTTTAACTACTTCTTCTTCTTCTTCCTCTCTCCTTCTCGATTTAGCAACTTTTTCTTCTTCTTCTCCCTCCCTCCCTCCCTCCCTCCCTCCCTTCCTCCAGTAACTATACTGGGTCTCGACTAATTTAGAATCAAGCTGCGTCAACCTCATTAAGGGGAAGCTCTCCCGGCACCTGTTTCTTTATTCACAAGACTCGAATTCAAGACCTTACTTAAAAAGAACTGATTTCTTTCTACTCGGTTTAACTACTACTTCTTCTTCTTCTTCTTCCTCTCTCCCTCTCGGTTTAGCTACTTCTTCTTCTTCTTCTCCCCCCTCCCTCCCTCCCTCCCTCCGGTAACTATATTGGGTCTCGACTAATTCAGAATCGAGCTGCGTCAACCCCATTAGGGGAAGCTCTCTCAACACCTATTTCTTTATTCACAAGACTCGAATTTAAGATCTTACTTAAAAAGAATCAAGTTCTTTCAACTCAGTTTAACTACTACTTCTTCTTCTTCTTCTTCCTCTCTCCCTTGCTGTTTAGCTACTTCTTCTTCTTCTTCTTCTTTTTCTTCTTTTTCTTCTTCTTCTTCTTCTTCTTCTTCTCTCTTCCTCCCTCCGGTAACTATATTGGGTTTCAACTAATTCAGAATCGAGCTGCGTTGACCTCATTAAGGGAAAGCTTTCCCAGCACCTGTTTCTTTATTCACAAGACTCGAATTCAAAACTTTAGAGCCGAGTTCTTTCTACTCAGTTTAACTACTTCTTCTTCTTCTTCTTCTTCCTCTCTCCCTCTCAATTTAGCTACTTCTTCTTCTTCTTCTTCTCCCTCCCTCCCTCCTCCTCTCAATGTTACAGTGTTGCCTGCTTCCTCAAATGGTTGAATCATTTCTCTTTCTCTTTGCGGTTCCAATAAAGTGATTTGTGAAATTCTTTTAATTTTTGATAGTAACTAAATTTCTATTTTTTATGCTGTAAATCTTATATCCTATTTTTATTTTATTTTTTTATTAGATTAAAATTAATTACATATATTAACTAAATAAAAAAAAATAATGAGATCGTAAGATTCAAACATATCATCAACGATAGATGAACAGTCCTATCTCAATATCTTTACCGCTGGCTAGAGCGGGCTGTACCATATCATCCTTTTATTTTGGATACAAAAAATGGAGGAAAATCCATTATCTGCAAGAGTGCCGTTAACTATTTCCACTAAATTCTCCATGAGCTAGTACAAATAATAAAGCAAACGACCCAATTAGAAAGCGAAAAACTTACATAAATTCCGCAAGAGTACCAATAACGTACTTACTATTTCAGCTAATTTCTCCATGTACTTAATAAAAACAGAGCAACGTCCTCTCAAAACTTTACCTATTTGTTGGGATTAGGCCCAACGCCCTCTCAGGGCCACATGCAGCAGGCCCAGCTATGCACCCATAGGCCCAAGAGGAGGAGACATACCCACGTGGGCAGCACCAC